AAAAAAAAAAAAAAAAAGAACTTTAACTATAACTACACACACACACACATCAAATAACATGCGAAATTACTAAATAGAGAAGTTATAATAGTTACTTCTAAAAAAAAACTTTACAAAACATTTTCTGCACATTGCTTTAGATGACCGGATCTCTCAAATTCATTTTTAATAGCATTCTATTTTTAAATCATATGTCATTTTTGAGGAAAACATTGTCAAAAGATATAAACATCTTTATGCTTTGAATCAATTCCAACCTATTGCTAATGTGACTTGGCAGTTGAAAACTTGAGCCCAGGAAGGATATTGCTGAACATGAAGCTTTAGCTACTTATGTTTCTATGCACTTTTTGCCAAGTTTTTTAGACCAAAAGTTCAAATTTGCACTTATAATATTACAGGAATAATAGCTCAATTTCCCTAGGTCCCGAATTTTTTTTCTGAAAACTACACAACTGATCCAAACAAGTATGGCCAAGTCAAGTTATGAAAACACATTAAATCTCTAAGGCAACAGTTCCAATAAAAGAATTCAGGATGGAACTTGTCTAAAAGAATAAATTCCAGGAAGGGAAGTCTTAATCTACATGTAGCATCAGCAGAAATGTTATACCTGACCTTGTTTTAAAAAAAATTTCTGTCTATTAGAGTCCAGACTTCTCAACAATAATCTATCCTAGATGCCAATTCCAGGAAATGAAAGGAGATGTGGATTTGGGTTATTGGATAAAGGGAAAATCCACATAAACCAACCTTGGGTCATTTACTGGGTTATCTGAAAAGTCATGACACCATTTTGCAGAGAAAAACATAGAAAAATATGTCATGACTTTTCAATGACCCAATATTATCCACCAAAAAAAGTGTATAGCAATGCTAACTTTCTTCACATATCTATCTCAAGGAAAGAGAAAGATATATGCCTTTGGTTTAAAATAATAATCTTTACAGTGAGGTTGAAGATAGAAAATTCCCTATTCAAACCACCGTTCATTAATTTGTGGAGGTGGAAACATATGATATATATATATATATATACACACACACACATATATATGTATATATACACACACATATATACATATATACACACACACATATATGTATATACACACACACATATATATACATATAGACACACACACACATCATATTCTTAGGTGTAGAATTTATGCTATATGTATGTTTCATGCCTGATAATAATCACAAAGTGCCAGATTAGTCAAATTAAAAGAAAAAAATCGATTAAATGTAAAATTAGTCCAAGGAAAAATTCTTTCTTTATATTTTTACACTTGAGAAAATCGAGGAGAACCCAAGCTTATTTCACAGTATGGTCGCTATTTTTTCATTATGAGCCCATCCTTTTCCCTCCTGCCTACCAAAATAAGAGCTAGCGTAAAAGTTTCATGTCTCGAGGGAAAAGTAAACAAGAGCAGCTGGAATATGTCACGTGTGTATTTTTTCGGAGTGTGGGATTTACTTGGCTTAATCATCCAGAGTTGGATGAGTTGATTTGGTGTGGGTAGAGGATTGTTTGCCTTGTTTTCTTCTGTTTACTTTTTGTGTTGAGATCATTTTAAATTCACACGTAGTTGTGAGAAACAATACAGAAGGAAAGAGTATTATCCTTCACTTGATTTCCCCCAAAGGTAACATTTTACATAACTAATTATACCACAATATCACAGCCAAGAAGTTGACATTTATATAATCCTCTGATCTTTTTCAGATTTCACCAGTTTGACATGTGCTCAATGTATGTGTATTTAATTCAACACAGTTTTGTCACAGATATAGATTCATGTGACCATGGCCACAATGAAGACACAGAACAGTTGCATCACCTCAAATATTCCTGGTAGTGTCCTACTCACTTCCTTTTCTCCCCACCTTTCTAATACTTGGCCATCACTAAACTTTTCTCCATCCCTATAATTTGGTCATTCAAAAATGTGATAGAAATGGAACTATGCCATGTATAACCTTTATTTCACACAGCATAACTTCTTTGATATTCATCAAAATTGTTATATGTATCAATGATGCTAAGTACTGTTGTTTTTTGGGGTTTTTTTTTGGTTTTCAGAGGTTTTTGTTATAGGACATGTGCACTCGCCGAAAAGACAGAGAGAGACAGAGATAGAAAGCAAGAAATAACCCCCCAGTGGGATGGCCACGCTGAAATCAGTTCTCCTCTATTCTCCTCTCAGGATCTTGGGCACGCACGCACACGCGCTTGGCATGAGTTTAAGCCACCAGGTCTGAGACTCGAACCGTGGTCAACTACATGGGAGTCCAGCAACATAGCCATCACGCTAGCTGCTGGTCCCCTAAGTACTGTTTTTTATTGCTAAGCACTATCCCATGGTATGGACATACCACATTCACTTAACTATTCACCCATTGAAGAACACCATGTTGTTTCTAGTTTTTGGCTATTGTTAAGATTCTTCTAGGTCACTTAAAATCAGAAGGATTTTCTTTCTCTGTCTCTAGTAAGAGATACATTTGCCTAACTACAAGAAATCTTCAAAAGCTTCATGGAAATGTGTATTATGAAAACATTATGCATGGATTTCAAAAATTTCCCACTGGGACCAGCAGTTAGCATAATGGCTATGTCGCTGGACTCCCATGTAGTTGACCACGGTTCGAGTCTTGGACCAGGTGGCTTAAGCTCATACTGGGCGCGTGTGCGTGCATGCCCAAGATCCCAAGAGAAGAATGGAGGAGAAGGGATTGCAATGTGGCCATCCCCCGGGGGGTGATTTCTCACTTTCTATCACTCTGTCTCTCTCTGTCTTTCTGGTGAGCACACGTGCCCTATAGTGAAAACCTCTCAAAAAAAAAAAAGACACACACACACACAAATTTCCCACTCAAATAAACTCATACTTTAATTCCATTTTTCATGAACTTTTTGAAGGTTCCTCATATGTATAACTCACTTACAACCTACCCAGATTCTCTGCATAGAGTTTCTGATTCTTTTTGCCATTATAACAAATTAAAATTTATAAAAAAGGAGAACGTTTTTAAAAAATGGCTACTCTGTGATTTTAAATTGGTGGCAACTAGCTTCCAAATCACTGTAATTCTCTTCTATCCTTTTTCTATCTGCTAAGACTTACTGTATTTTCATTATTTAATACTATTTAGTAATAGCTTAATATGCTAACATTTTAATGCACTTGAAATATACTTCTAATTTTTCCAAGGAACTTATCCCTTCTCCAGAATGTAACATTTAAAAAATTTTTTGAGAGAAATAAAGCAAAACAAATTTTTAAAATAGTTTTTAAACAGTGATTTATGGATGTTATCACAGAAGCTACACATGAAAAGTAGCATGAAGAAGTGAGATGACAATTTAGATAGTGTTACCCTTGCAATGATCTTTTCTCACTGTGATCAAATCCCTTCATGGCAAATCTGCTGGACAGCAGGTTTTAAGGTAGGTTAAATCTACTATAGTATAGGAAGCAGCATAGGCATAATGGCTATGTCACTGGACTCCCATGTAGTCGACCGTAGTTTGAATCCCGGGTTCAGTAGCTTAAACTCTGCCTGATGCATGAGTGTTCATGTCCAGGACCCTGTGAGGAGAATGGAGGAGAAGGGACTGTGGCTTGTCCATCCTCCTTGGAGGGTGAATTCTTGCTTTCTGTTTCTCTGTTTCTCTCTGTATTTCTGGCGAACGCACTTGCACTATAGAAAAAAACTCTCAAAATAATAAAATAAAATAAAGAAACACAAATCCTTGACCAAAAATAAAAGAATATTTAAAGAACTTATTTATATATACATATATATAATATGTATATAATATATTTATATATATATATACACTATAGTATATTTATATAATGATTTGTGTACACATGATTTCTTTTTTTTTTTCTTTTCTCTTTTTTTTTTTTTTTTTTAGAGAGAGACTTTTGCTATAGGCTGTATGAGTTCACCAGAGTATATTTAGTAGACTGGAACCCCATCTTTCACTCTGTCCTAAAGGAGTCCCATGGTATATCTGAACCAAACTATCCAGGTTATGAAAGAGTTCAGGTGAATTTACATATAGTCATGTGTCATAATGAGATTTCAGTTAATGACAGACCACATATACAAGGAGACTTTAGAAAGTTCATGGAGATTGTGTATTATTAAAAAAAATTTGCACGGGACCAGCAGATGACGTAACAATTACATATTTGGACTCCCACATGGCTGACCACAGTTGGAGTCCTGGACCCAGTGGCTTAAAACTCATGCTAGTTGTATGTGCAAGCATGCGTGGCCAAGATCCCAAGAGGAGAACAGAGCGTGATAGAAGTGATAGATGTGATACAGGTGTGATAGATGACCCTTTAAGGGACTGCAGTGTGGCTATCCCCCCCAGGGCAGGGGGGGTGATTTCTTGCTTTCTGTCTTTCTCTGTCTCAAAAAAAAACAAAACAAAACAAAACAAAAAAACAAAAATCTTTAAGGGCTGGCAGGTGGTTAAGGGCACTGGACTCCCACATGTCTGACCACAGTTTGAGTCCCAGACCTGGCAGCTTTCTCTATTTCCCTCTCTCTCTTTCTCACTCTGTTTCTCTCTGGCCAAATTTAAATAAATTAATTAAGTTAAAGTAATTCTTTTTAAAACATATTTGTATGCATAAATTTCAAAAACAAATTTACTGAAATAAACATGCACTGTAATTCCACTTACCATGAACTTTTTCAAGTCCCTTTGTATGATGGTTGGTCCCAGAAGAAGCATAGAAGCTATACTATGCAGCCTAGATGCGTTGTAGGCTCATGTCTAGGTCTGTGTAAGTACACTCTGTGATGTTTGGACAATGAGGAAATTGCCTAAGAACACATTTCTCATAACATATCGCTGCCATTAAGCAGCATCTGACTGCATTTTAAGAGAAAGTTATTTCACAAAAATGTTTTAATTCTGCAATTTTTTGTATAGGTTAAAACAACAGGTATAACAGACAGAATTAGGATTCTCCTTTTTCATGTGTATGCATTAGGTTTTGTTATTGGTCCTAAAGTAACACATTACGAAATCCTAGTAAACAAAGTTTGTCTAAGATTAGATTTCTCAAAGTAGAGCTCAGACAGGGATTTGTGTACATGTGACTTATTTTTCTTTTTTTCTTCCTTCTTTTTTTTTTTTAGGAGAGATTCTTGCTATAGGGTGTACGAGTTCACCAGAGAGAGTCAAAAAGACAAAAAGTAAGAAATCACCCCCCGGGGGATGGCCATGCCACAATCCCTTCTCCTCCATTCTCCTCTCAGGATTATGGGCATGCACACACTTGCACCTAGAATGAATTTTAAGCCACCAGGTCTAGGACTCAGACTGTGGTCGACTACATGGGAGTCCAGTGACATAGCCATTATGCCATCTGCTGGTCTCACACATGATTTCTTGAGGGAATACTCTCAGGAGTGAGAGGGTGAGAGAAATGAAGACAAGATGTGGTTCCAGCTGGAGTCAGGCTTCAATCATACAGCAAGAGGAGATTCTGAGCACGCATTGCACCATGGAGTTGATCCCAGTCTGAGGCAATAGTGCTAGCCTTTTAAACTCTGTATACGTCAATCATTGGCTACAGGTTTCCCCAGGTGGGGACCAGGGTGGTACAGATGATGTGACCTAGGTTAGAAGACTTCTATTAGTCCAAGAGTACCAACAGAACCACAACCAGGTTCTTAAAGATCAATAGAACTGGTATTAAAAATAAATATACTGTTGGGTCAGCAGGTGACATAGTGGTTGAAGTGTTGGACTCCCACATGGTCAACTGTGGTTCGAGTCCCAGACCTGGTAGCTTGAAAATCACACAAGGTGCATATGTGTGCGTGCCCAAAATCCCAGAAGGAGAATGGAGGAGAAAGGATTGTAGCATGGCCATCCCCTCTGGGGGACAGTGATATCTCACTTTTCCCCTATCTGTCTTTCTCCAGCAAGTACACGTGCCCTATGGCAAAAACTTTACAAATGAGTGAATAAATAAATGTACTATTAAGATTCCGACTTAACCAGTTACTTCTCCAGGCTTTATGCTACCCTTAGACTGCCGTCTAGATGGCTGTTTCTCTTGTGTTCAAGGTTGGCTCAGTTGCTTAAGAGCTCAAGATGAATGCAAAAGGGGTGCCTGTCGTCCTACCACCGGTAATCTCCTCATGGGCCGCAGTGCGCAGCTTACAGCTTCTTCTACCTGTGGGCTGGACAGAGCCCAGAAATACTGCATCCTCAGCTACCTGGAGGTGGGCTAGTTTTTTGCTTACTTACTGAGACATTTTTTAATCAATGATGTAGATTTTTTCAAGTACATCTGAGGCCACTCACACGACACTAAGGAAGAATACAGCATTCCTTCCCAATCACAGAAGACACAGATAATATAACTCAAAGTCTAGGAAACCTTGAATAATCAGAAAATATGGGTTATCTGATTAATTTTCATTTTTGTTATCAATACCAAAAGAAAAGTCTTTTTGGTTTATTCTTAGAATAGAATTGCTATAAAATCTGTTGGTCTACTTAGCTGCCTTAGTGACTCCTGTAGAGTGAACATAATGGACTCATTCACTGAGCACTGAAGTTCCCTCAGGGTCTTCTTGTTCCACATTAGAGAGAGCAAGTGTAAAACTTTGAACTGATTGTACACCAATCTCCTAATACCACTTAGAAGTTGTATTTTCTAAAATGCATGAATTCTCAAATGTGAACATATTTTTGTGCCTCTTCCTTTTAAAGACCAGTCTTGTGAAAGGACCAGTGGCTTTTCAGGTTTCTCCCCCTGCCTGTGTACTGGCAGCAGAACAAGCACCCAAGGTCATCTAAGTATCCTACCTGCTAAAACCCTGAGGCAATCACGTCCACTGTTAAATGAGAGGATGTGCAGAAAGGAAGTTGGACAGAAGCCTAATGTTAGTGTCCCAGACTTTTCCATGTATTGTTCATTTAAGGCAATTACTTAGGTCTCTGGGAAATGCTTTGTATTCTAGTTGGTTTTTAGTAAAAGATGATTATAAATAAGCATAGACAATAGGTGGGTATTTAACACTATGCTAAGTTTGGGAAGTCCTTCTGTAAGAATTCGAATTTTCTTCACGGGCAAGGAAATTACACATGGAAGTTTTGTACATGTCTAGGCCAGGTGTTATAGATGGCCCTTTAAGTGACTTTACAAAAGAAGTAAACAACAAGGGATTTTCAATTCTCATACTGGAAACTGTCCAATATTAGCATCATCCATCTCGTTCTTCAACCACTGGCATTTGCTTACTATTGTCAGAAGCCCACACACTCTGACAAAAATTAGAAATTGGTGTTCCTGGGACCAGCAGATGGTATAATGGTTACGTCTTTATATTCCCATGTGGTCTACCATGGTTCAAGTCCCAGACCCAGCGGCTTAAAACTCGCACGGAACACATTGTGCATGCGTGTCCAGAATCCTGAAAGGAGAATAGAGGAGAAGGGATGGCGGCATGGCCATCCTCCTTGTAGCTGATTCCTTACTTTCTGTCTCCCTAGCAAGCACACATACCCTAGAGCAAAAATCTCTCTTAAAAAAAATAAATAAATAATTTTAAAAATTGGTATTCCTATGTATCGAAGTTTTACCAACAAAAATAGAAGTAAATCCAAGGACGACAGACATCTTTGAAAGCTTAGCACTGGGAAAAAAAAAAACTTCAAAATATTTCAGGCTGAAAAAGTATTAGTGATATGGCTACAACTATTAGTTTAGAGAAACATCCATGCAGCATGAATGATGATTTCCCTCCACCTGTTATTTAAGAAAGAGTTACCATGTGAACATTTTCTTAAAATGCTTCCAGTCAACACTGACCAATTGACTCCCACATCTAGTGGTCACATCCTCTGTAACTAGCCCCATCAAAGACTATGTTTCTAGAATGTTTACAGAAAAATGGCCCACAAGCTCTGGTATTAAACATTTTTCTCCAGGAATTTTCATAGTATTATTGGAACTTCTTTGAAGACTTGACATCTTTTCCTGTAATTACAAGGCTTCTGCTGATTTTTAGTGTTGATCTGGGTCAAGTCTACCCCTATTTAGAGTTAACCTAACTTCCATTGTGCCTTAATGTTCAAAGGGAATTTTGGCTTTTTCAACAATAAGGCTGATAGTAACTAGTCATTTTAAATGCACTGAAATTGTTTTTTTGTTTTGTTTTGCTTTGTTTTGCCATAGGGCATGAGCACTCTCCAAGGAGAGAGAGAGAGAAAGTGAGAAATTCCCTCTGAGGGGGATGGCCATGTCCAATCCCTTCTAGTCCATTCTTCTCTCAGGATTTTGGGCACACAACACATATGCCCAATGTGTTTTTCTTTTTCTTTCTTTCTTTCTTTCTTTTTTTTTTTTTGAGAGGTTTTTGCCATAGGGCGCATGAACTCACCAGACAGACAGAGAGAGAGAGAGAGAGACAGAAAGCGAGAAATCACCCCCCCAGGGGGGATGGCCACGCTGCAATCCCTTCTCCTCCATTCTCCTCTAGGGATCTTGGGCACACCCGCACATGTGCCTGGAGTGGGTTTTAAGCCACCAGGTCTGGGACACGAACTGCATTTGACCACGTGGCAGTCCAGCGACATAGCCATTACGCTAACTGCTGGTCCCCTCAATGTGTTTTTCAAGTCACCAGGTCCGGGACTCAAATCACACAGTCAGCCATGTGGGACCCAGTGCCTTAACCACCACCCCACCTGCTGATCGCTAAAAAAGGTGGTTACTTTGACAGACTTTAGCTGAAATGATTATTAAAATCACCATGCATTCATACAACAAGTTTTATTGACCTACTATATGCCAGGCACTATTTTAGGTAAAGAGGATACAGTAATAAGCAAAGCAAAGTTCTTGCCCCTTGTTCAGCTTAAATTTTAATGATGGCGACTGATAATAAACCAACAACTATGTAAAATATTCTCAGGTCATGATAAGCGCCTAGGGAATATATAAAGTAAGACAAAGGATAGAGAGTAGCAGGAGGCTATGGGGGTGGGGAAACAGTGGCATTTTAGATAGGGTGGTCCAAGAAGTCTCTGAGATAAAGGCGTTCAAACGCAGACCTGAAAGCAGAGAAGGAACAAGAGGTTAACATTTTGAGGAGGGAGAATTGTTTGTGCCAAGATTCTAAGATGGAAAGTTTCTTGGTGTGCTTGAAGAATTAGCAAGAAGCAAGTTAGCAAAAGAAAGATAGATAAGTAAAAAGAAAGGCAAAAAGGTATCTTGGCTAGATTACGGTGGGCCTTTAAGCCCCATGATAACAGACAGACAACTCTTGCTCACTGAGTACTACCAGTTGAGTACCTACCAGCTGAGTACCTGTGCTGTCCCTGGCAATTTCTGGCACAGAAGGTTACAAAGAACAGCCCCCACTTCCCGGAAGCTTTGTAAAAATGCTCTTAAGAGTCCCACAAGTATTCGCCAGGAATAACTGTGCTAACCATTGGCAGCCTTTTGGAAATCGCTGTAGAGCCCCCAAGGAGTTTTAAGGACAGCTGCAAATGGACACATTAAATTAAGGAAGCTCAAAGGCCAGTATTTGCTGTTGTAATCTTTGAAAATCCATCCTAAGAAAAACTAGTTCCACTTCATTAAACAGACCTTCTAGTCTACAAGACAAGAGGATGAGCCTTTTCTGTGAGAGTTTTATGAAAATCTTTTCCTAAGTTCACTAGTGTGATATAAAGGCTTTGATCATGAAAACTTTTCTACTAAAAACTGTTGAATGAGAAAAAAAGAACGATGGTTGCAGATAACCTAGTGGCCAAGTACCTCATCAATTTCTTGCCAAATAGTCCCTTTTTTTTTTTTTTTGGCTAAAAGATATAATACTAACTCAAAAAGTATATCCTAATTATTTCTCTTCAGTTTAAAATAACTTAAGGGAAAACTCATTTCATATATATTTGCATTTTAGCCTCAAATATATAAATTATAAAATTTCTAGGTCAAATTTGAATTGGGTTTGTCATTGTATTTGAGCACTTATTAATGGAAAAATTGATGTCTTGTTATTTCCTCTGCTTTTTATTTTTAGCCAGATTAAAAGACAAATATAGTCAGTACAGCTTGTTTTTAGATTCAGATCAACAATAAGTAATTACAGTTCTTTATTTTTATTTTTAATTGTTTTTTTCCCCCAGGGAGAACAGAAATGTTTCACCTGTGACTCCAGATTTCCATATGATCCATACACCCAACCCAACAGTCACACCATTGAGAATGTAATTACAAATTTTGAACCAGACAGAGAAAAGAAATGGTGGCAATCTGAAAATGGTATAATTAAGTTTCTTTGCAATGTTTTTCTTTCTTCAAATTTTATAATAAGACATCTTCTCTGTGTGGTTTTAGTAATGTCACAGCACGATATTACATTGAAATGGAACAACATCTGTCAAGAATATAAAGCCCCCTATGTGAACGAAATGTACTTTCATTTTAAGAAAGTGTATTTTTCTTTATAGAAATCAAAGTGTATTTTAAGCACATAACCCAGAAAATTTCCATGTGGGCAAAGAAAATATTTCTGCATCCTTTTGTTCCTTGTAAAAAATAGGGAAGTTTATGAAGTGTTGGTAAATTACAAAACACACTGATATAAACTGGATGAATAATGCCGTGAGGTCTGAGAGTTAGCACCATGTGTTTTTTTCCTTCTTCAACACATGAAAGAAAGAATATATATATATATATTTCACTTTTTACTGCAAGTCAAAGAGATTAATATGAAATTTGAATTGAAAGGATAATTGGCTATTGACTGGAGTTCTTTTCTTCCTGAATTTATGCCTTCTCTGCTCATGGACAACTGTGATATTGAACCCCACATTGGCCCTGACCATCTGTACTTCTAAACTCTCACTGCAAGTGTGAACCTCATCAGGGATTCCTCATGTTCCACTCCAGCCAGAGGCCTTAAGTGCCTAAGTGTACTTCCATCGAGGCTGGGCTTCCCCAGAATGAGCTTGCTCATTCACAATGACCCCTCTTCAACACTACTCTGAAATTCTTCCAGCTTTCCTTAATCCCCAACAAATGATTCCATTCACAACAACTCTGTACATTGCACTTGGAGGTATGATCCCTCTATTCTCTTCAGACTTCTAAATTTATTTTCTCTAAGGGATCTTAGACATTAGCGAGGAGTGAAGGAATAATCACAGCACAAGCATAATATGGGGCTGGTTTTCTGCCATCTACTTCAGAAATGCATGATTGCTACTGACTAAATGCCATTTCATTTGAGATCCTCCTCATTGATCTCTAGTCGGACTCTCCTTGACCAATGTGAGGTGGTTCTTACCACAGCCACTTGTCTTCACTGATCAATGGTACGGATGTTGCTTGACAGCTGTTCTGATCAACAGGTTCAGCATTAGTTCCACAGCTCCTCACAAAGGGAATGTCCTGCTGTCAGAGCCAATACTCCGTAGGGGTCTTCAATCAGGCACTTTAGAGATGGGAAAGAAGATCTCTTTTCTTGAACGAATAGGGAGTCCTTGATGCAAAGCCCTTTCAGCAGCAGACATTTCTCTGAGCCTTTTACCCTAGAACTCCAAGCTGAACCCAACTCACTGCCATCCAACCACACTTCTCTAGAGCTGCACTGTCCAATATTGTGCCCCCCACACACCAGCTCTTGAAACATGGCTGGTGCAAATTGAGATGGGCTGGAAATGTAAAGACATCTCAGATTTCTAAACCTCAGTTAGGAAAACAAAAACGTATAATAAAGCATTACTAACTTATAAGATATGAATGATAAATGAAATGTCAATATTTTTATGTAATACATAAGGTTAAGTATATTGTTAAAACTAAGTTTACCCATTTCTTTTTACTTTTTGAAACATGGCTGCTAAAATATCTAAATTATATTTGTGACTCTATTTCTGTGGAACAGCACTGCTCTAGAGAGATCTGGGCTTCCATGGGGTTGAGGGGGCTGATGCTCCACATCTGTGCTAGTTCACAGCTAACTAGCTCAGTGCAAAATCCTGGCCCGGATTCTTCTGTCACCTCCTCTGCCATAGAAAAGCCCTCCTGTCCCACTCCCAGGAAAATATTCTAAATGGTGTTTTATGCCAAGTGACAATAAAAGTCTAACTCAAGGACTGGAAGAAAAGGGTGTGTTGATTTTTACCACACTCGACTTGCCAGCTCATGTTTATGTGTAGTCAAAATCTGAGCATGAGGCCATGAGCCCACTTTTCTACATACGGAGAATGTTCTGAGCTCCCTTAGCCGTATGTAATGCTGCCACACAGTGGCCATGTGCGTTGCCACCAACACCTGGATGTGGGCACAGTTAGGGTGACACATACATTGTTCTTGCATGGACCTGGCCATAAAGTAGCCTGGGTACCAACTCAAGAGACTGAGGAAGAGTGTTGATCAACAGCCACGGGATATCAAGGGATTTTATTATAAAGAAACCACAGTGGCGATTAACTTGATATTGAGCCCCACATTGGCCCTTACCATCTGCATTTCCTAGATGCCCACTGTAAGTGTGAACCTAGTCAGGGATTCCTCTCAAAACCACTGATTTTCTTCTCTCTGGATTTTTCTTTAGGTCTCGATCACGTCAGCATCAGATTGGACCTAGAGGCTTTATTTCAGTTCAGTCACCTTATACTGACCTTTAAGGTACAGATGAACAGGACTGCTCCTCCCTGTACCCCTTTTTGACAAAGTGCTCAGGGTTCACCTGGGATTTCACTTCCCTGCCTCCTGGCAGAGAACCGGAACAACAAATCCAGACTTGAATTTTGTCATTTGGGCTTTTGTTTTTAAATGAAGATAAGCAAAAACACTGCTCGTTAATCAATGAGTATATGATTAATAATGATAATTTTTTAAAATTTGCTGTATGGTGCCTGTACTCATGAGAGAGAGAGAAAGAGAGAGAGAGAGAGAAAGACAGAGAGAGAAAAAAAAAAAAAGAAAAATAAGGAAATACTCCCAAAGGAGATAGCTATGCAGTGATTCCTTCTCCTTCATTCTCTTTGGGATTTGGGGTATGCATGCACACACACCCGATGTGTTTTTCAAGCTGCCTGGTCTGGAACTCACATTTGGCAATCAGCCATGTGGGATTCAGCAGCCTTTTAAAAAAATCTTATAAGACAAAGAGAAAAGGAAAACTCTAAGTGCTTGGTATAGGGACACCAGAACTAAAAAGATAATATTTAGCAGAAAAGGACAGGAACTGGAAATTATTTGGAGAGAGATTATAATCCAGGGGAAAGAAGAATTAATTTTTAATTAAATATTGCTCAGATGCCAGAGCAAATCATTGTACTATAGCTTTCCTTTAATCATCATCAAAATTCTAACTTGGAGGACATAGCCCTGTAACACAGTGGTTAAGCCCTGTACTTAGGGAGCTGGATCACACATGGCCAACTTCAGTTCAAATCCCAGTCCTGGCAGCTTAAAAATCATTCCAGGCACATGTGTACATGTGCCTAGGATCCCGACAAGAAGGAAGAATGGAAAAAAGGGGATTACGGTGTGACCAAATCCCTTTGGGGGAGAAGGGCACTTTCTTTCTTTGTCTCTCTCTCTCTGGCATATGCATGCACTCTCTGGTATAAAATAATAATAATAATAATAATAATAAATAGTAATTTGGCTGGGGCCAATAGGTGGTATGGTGTTTAAGTGCTGAACTGCCACTGGTCAACCATGGCTCAAGTCCCAGACTTGGTGGCTTGAAAACCCATGCCAGGAGTGTGTTCGTGCATGCTGAAAATCCCAGGAGAATGGAAAAGAGATTGTTTCTTGGTCATCCCTCCTGGTGGGGGGGATTTCTCACTTTCCCTCTCACTGTCTCTCTCCAGCAAGCGCACACATCCTGTGGCAAAAACGTTAAAAAAAAGTTCCAATTTTGATGTCAGGCCTAGTACTAGTTTTGTAATTTAAAAAATGAGTATAACTATATAAAAAAAAATGATTACAAAACTAGTCTTTATTCCAAGAGAACTCACAGTCTACTCATAGATACAAATGAATAAATTGAAATTTATAGGGGCTAACAGATAGCACAGCAGTTACATCACTGGACACCCACATGGTTGACCGCAGTTCAAGTCCTATCCAGTGGCTTGAAACTCACACCAGGTGGTTGTGGGTGCATGCTCACGATTTGGGGAGGAGAATGGAGGAGAAGTGATTGTGGTATGGCCATCCCTTCTGGGAGTGATTTCTCACTTTCCCGCTCACTGCCTGTCTCCAACAAGTACATGTGCCCTAAGGCCAAAATCTCTAGAAAAAAAGTGAAAATTAGAAATGTATAATACAAGTGTTAAGGGCATAAATGGGGTGTGTTTAGAAAGGTGTAAGGTTTAAGGGCTAAATGTGTTCTGTGAATCAGGATGAACTTCATGGATGACTTTTGAAGGTTTTATAGAGGTTTGCAGAAGAAAAGCAATCCAGGCAAAGAAAACACAAAATGCTGTAAAATATTAATTATATTAGCTTTTACATTTATATGACATCATTTTTCTTTTTTTAATAATTATTTTATTTAAATCTATTTATTTATTTCATTTTTACTAGAGAGAGACAGAGTGAGAGAGAGAGAAAGTGAGAAAGTAGGCCGCAAGGTCTAAGACTCGAACCTGGGTTGGCCATGTGGCAGTCCAGTATCCCCAACCACCAGGCCACCTGCCAACCCCTGACATCTTTTTTTCAATTAATAATTCACCATCCATAAACATTTTTAAAATGTAATTGACTCTGAGGACAAAGTGTGTACTCATAAATACTTGCACATTTATTAGAAAACGATCTCATTGTATTTATTGTGTAGTAGATTTTAGGAGACGTGGTTCAAAAAACAGAGTTAGAAAACATAAGCACTCTATCTGGAGTGGATACTGATACTTGGTTTTGTGAAAGACTGCAAGTTTTTACTCATTTTCCCCACAGACTTTCCGGCCCGCTGCAATGTTGATTGAACGTTCCACAGACTATGGGCACACCTGGAAAGTGCTCAAATATTTTGCAAAAGACTGTGCTGCTTCCTTTCCCAATATTCCATCTGGCCAGGCCCAGGGAGTGGGAGACTTGATTTGTGACTCCAAATATTCAGATATCGAGCCCTCAACTGGTGGTGAGGTAACAATTTCGTCCTTGGATTTCTTTTACATACATTGAATCTTTAAAAATGTGATTAATTTTAATTTAAAAACTTAGATATGCTTACTGACATGTAACGTGAGCTGCCGGCTTTTTTAAAATGAGGGTATCTTTATTGAAATGAGTCCTGAATAATAAATAATGAGTATATTATCAGAAATCATTCTTCCCGGAGTCAGCATGACATGGTGATTAAGACGCTGTACTCTCACACAGCCAACTGCAGGTTGAGTCCCAGACCTGGTGACTTGCTTTCTCACTTTTCCTCTCTCCTCTCTCTGGTCAAATAAATAATAATATCAATAATGAATAAAATAAAAATAATTCTAAAGTAAAAGAAAAGAATTCTGCACAAGAGTGCCTAGCTGATGGTGAACGGGGCCTAACATTTAAACTGGGCACTGTGGTCCAGGAGAACCAGAGGAGGAAGCACCTGTTTCTACCCCTTGCAAAGGAGCCATATTTGCTAGCAGTAGTCCTGGATTAGCTGTCTCATTCCCATGCTCCAAAAACCACCACCAAGGTAGAATCTTTCAGGAACATCCCTCTGAGCCAAGCTGGTGACTTTCAGAAAGTCTGATGGGGGTGAGGTTGGAGTTACCACTTTATCAGATAGAGAAGAAAGAATTGGTAGCAGAAGGCAGTTCTAGAATTCCCTGCTAAATCCAGGTTGATGGCAATTTGCTGGATCGTCCATCACACTACCCTAACCCAGCTCAGGAGCCCTCTTCACCAGTGGTACCTCCACTTCTGTCATATGGGTCACTTGTGCATAAACAGTTAGAAATGCCTGATTAATGACTTTCATCATTTTTGTCCTTGGTATTTTTATTCATGTGGTGACCCAAATGACAATCTGCATACTGTGTGGGAGGCAATGGCTCAGCCTACTTGTCAGGTCTCTTCTTTAAGAGTAAATTTGACAATTATATTTTTGGGTAATAGTCTAGAAATTTACCTACATTCATTTTACAGGTTGTTTTAAAAGTTTTGGATCCCAGCTTTGAAATAGAAAATCCTTACAGCCCCTACATCCAAGGTATGCATTCTTTTGGATTTTTCAGACCGACTCCTTTTATGAAATTTTATGTTAGGCGTGTTCCTTGCGATTGTATTTCTAAAGTACATGAAGGGGCTATCAGTCAAGAAGGGCATCTTGAATTAATGCTACTTTTATGCATTTCAATTCATTATTTTCTCTTCTCTAGACCTTGTGACACTAACAAACCTGAGGATAAACTTTACCAAACTTCATACCCTTGGGGATATTTTGCCTGGAAGGAGGCAGAATGATTCCCTTGATAAATATTATTATGCATTATATGAGATGGTTGTCCGGGGCAGCTGTTTTTGCAACGGCCATGCTAGTGAATGTGGCCCTGCACAGGAAGTGCGGGGAGATGTGTTCAGCCCTCCAGGAATGGTGAGTTATTAACTCAGAAGAGAGTTCAATCTCCTGCCTGCCTTTCACTGTCCTGGGACTGAATGGAGATCAAACATTCTTTGTGAAGATAGACAAATCAGAGTGCCAGTTTCATGTTGGAGCAAGAATCATTCAACCCAGCCCAAGAGGTCGATTGGGGTCTTTGAGTTCCTCTAGCTGGGGATGCTTGTGGATGCTGTCACATACGGACATTACTGAATGAATGAGTAAAATTTCTCATTGATGATTTCATGATAGCCCACCGGGCCCTCTTTTTATTTATTCAGTTTTTAGGGAATGGAGATTTGGTAGAGAGAAACCATAATTTCCCATTCCTTTCCTCAGAAAAATGTATTGAAGGCTTGTTGCATGAGAGACCCTGTAGTCGGTGCTAGGGGGTTTCAGTAATTCCTGACATTATAAATATGGTCAGTTCAAGTAACATGCCTACACTATGAGTGACTGAATCCATACTGCAGACCTCTCTCCTTTTTCAAACTAATAGTAAAATACTGATATAGTAGAATTATATTTTTAGGGCAGAGTCCCAGGAGGTGTGTCTACTAAATAAATTCGGTTTTAGACCCAGTCATACAAGGCAGGATGTTGAGGCTGCCTTTCCACTCAGCTGCCTCTATAAATCACTGGAAGTACAGCTTCTCTCTTTGAACTTGAGCCATTTAGGCTTTTTATGAAGCCCAAAGACAGTTTTTCTAACCTCTTATTTTCCCTTATGCTCCTAAACTTCTCCCACACCCTCCTCCCATACATGCAGACTCCTTCCCAGCCTGTCCTCCGTTTTACTGAGGGCTGAAGTGTGCGACCCTGAAACTAGAATTCAGAAACAGCCCTTTAAAATAGATTGTTCACTGAGATTCTTAAGTGAAAAAATATAATAATAATAAAGCTAGTTAAGCAAATGTATAAGGGGTCTTCAAAAAGTTTGTGGAAAATGACTATTATGAGAAGCTATGCAAGAATTTCCTTTTGTATTTCTTTTTCTTTTTTTGCCAAAGATAACCTCATGCTTTAACTCATCTTCTTACAAGCTTTTGGAAGTCCCCTTGCAAAAGAGAGTCAAGATTTGTACAGAAACTGACATATATTAAACTAAGAACCAGACCCCTTGGCCAGGTGTTTCATTTTCCATTTAAAGGGCCCCCACATCTACAAGGAGAAGCTCTCTTTTGATGCTCTGTTTATCCCCCAATGCAGGTTCATGGTCAGTGTGTCTGTCAGCACAACACAGATGGCCCGAACTGTGAGAGGTGCAAGGACTTCTTCCAGGACGCTCCTTGGAAGCCAGCTGTGGGCCCCCAGGACAGCACTTGCAGATGTGGGTGCAAATGAGCTCTTGGCATAGACTGAGCATGCTCCCCATTACCTTGTGTGGAAGGACACCTAGTTCATTCCTGTGGGACTGCAGGCAACAACCACCAGGAAGCTGTGGCGCCCAGTTCTGACTGTGTGACACCCTTACTCTCCGACATGGAAGAACCACCAGCTTCCCAAGCCCTCATACCACCAATTCACATTAATTTGTAAATTGAACCAATACACTTGCTACATGACTTCTTTCCAGAGGCATGCTAGAGCCTTTTCAGGGCTGTATCAATGGAGACTGAGCAACCCCATGAATTTAGTGAAAGCTAGATTTGGTCTCTTTAGTAGAGACTTTCTATTTTACTGAATAATTAAACATTCCATAAATATAACCTTAAACCCATCTGTAAGATAATAGGAATGTCCAAGATTGAGTTGGACTATTGTTATTTTTTAAATAGACTATTTAGGCTAATATTGAATAAGATGCTGTTTTGGGTTTTGGTAATATGTTTGCTGCCTCTGAACCCTGAGGGACTTCCAAATAAGCATGTTTCTTTTCCAAGATTTGGGAAAAATAGGATGAGGGGGAAAGGAAGTCTAGAAGAGCCCTAATGAAAAAGCCCTATCCATGAGAGTCACAGTATATAAGACCCAGCAAAATGTAGCCTGAGCTTAGTCTGTTTTCCAGGAAAAAGCCAGCAAGACAAACACAGACATCGCAGACACTGCCATTAGGACAAGCTAATTCCCCAGATAGACTGCCTTTCTCTCTGGTCCTCCGGTTGAGTCCCAGATGAGATAAAAGTGACTCGTGGCTGCCCTTCCCACTCTTCTGCCATCTAGAAGGAGGGAAGCTAGCAGCATTCTGCTCTGACATCTTATCTGAGACTCCCAGTGCGTATAGAATGTTTTAGAAAAAACATGCACATCTATAAATCTTAAGTCAGTAAAAGTGTGCTTTACTGAAACAACACACAAATATTGCACTTTATGGCTTGTGGGTCACCTACATGATTTATTCTTGTTTATTTGACTTAAAAACAGAACTACATAGTGCCAGCAGGTGGCACGGAGGTTGAGGTGGCTGGATCCCACATGGCTGACAGGGCACTTGGAGTCCAGGACCCAGGGGCTTGAGAAACACACTGAGTGCATGTGTATGCATGCCCAGGATCCCAAGAGGAGGATGGACAAGGGATTGCAGCATGGCCATCCCCTTCCAGTGTGGTTTCTCACTTTCCCTTTCTCCGTCTATCTCTCTGTCTCTGGAGAGCACATGCACCCCATAGCAAAATTTAATTAAAAAAAAACCAACTATGTATTAAATGTTTGGGAACTCATTGTAGAGAAGGAAATGAGCAGAATCAGAGTGCCAGCAGGATCCCTTGACAGCACCTATTTGACCCTTTGTGCATCTATAAAAAGAAGACAGAGTGGCTAGCGGGAGAGAGGATGCGGGGATGAGTGTGTGGACCCAGATTCAGTCCCCAGACCTTGCTCATCTCTCAGTTACTCTGCTCTCTCTTCTCAGCATGTACCTGTAATGGCCATTCTGACCGCTGTCACTTCGACCCCACGGTGTACCTGGCCAGCGGAGATCTCAGCGGGGGTGTGTGTGAAGACTGCCGTCACAACACCGAGGGCCAGCACTGCGACCGCTGCAGACCCCTCTTCTACAGGAACCCGCTCAAGGCCATCTCGGATCCCTATGCATGCATTCGTGAGTCCCTGACGGCTTCCCCTGTCCAAGCAAATTCTATTTGGTCTCTCTTCGGCTGAAGCCCTTGCCCTGCTTAGCAGCAACCCCAAACTCCCCTATGTGGGGAATGAAGGGTTGCAAGAATACTTCGGCTTTAACAGCTTCTGATTCTGCAAACAAATTGAGGCAAATAATCCAGGTCCACCCTGGTAGTCTCGCATCAAGCCTAATACGAGATTCAACGAGGACGCCCAGATGGTGTCTGCATATGCCGCAGCAGGCACACATCATGGAAGCCAGCTTGGGGATGAAACTAAGGTAGTGAGATTGGCTAACACGGTACACTGGCTGTAGGCAATGCAGTGCTGCTGTTAAGATGCATGAGCCCATGGGACCAGCAGTTAGCATAATGGCTATGTCACTGGACTCCCACATAGTCGACCGCGGTTCGCGTACTGGACCCGGTGGCTTAAAACATGTCGGGTGCGTGTGCGTGCGTGCCCAAGATCCTGAGAGGAGAATGGAGGAGAAGGGATTGCGGTGTGGCCATCCCCCCTGGGGGGGGATTTCTTGCTTTCTGTCTCTCTGTTTCTCTCTGTCTGTCTGGCGAGCGCACGCACCCTATAGCGAAAACCTCTCCAAAAAAAAAAAAAAGATGTATGAGCCCGTGGATTGTCTTGCTTCTATGTCTTAAAAACCTTTAAAGATTTTTAAATTTCATTTAGAATCTCAAATTTTCAAAATGAAATAATTCAAGAATATACAAAAGTATAGAGAATAATATAATTAATACCCTTTCACTCCCCACCAGCATTGTCAGAACATGTCTTACCCTACTACCTTCAGTACTTTCCTTAATAAAAGGCTCAGGCACAATGAATGACTCAGGTTTCCAGCTGTTCCATTCACCTAGTCTCCATCCCAGAAGTAAACTCCTTCATATAATTAGCATCCATCACTACCATATTTATTTGTATACTTTTACTTGTATTTTTATCCGCAAATGTTGGCATGTTTTTTAAGCTTCGGATACATGATATTATGCTATATATATAT